TCCAATGTTCAATGCACGGTGTACACTGTACAGTAAGGGAGCGGGATTTTGGATTTCCAATTGCTTTAACCAGAATAGCATACATATTGGTTCTTTAAACGTCTATATTAGTAAAGAAGTTTTTCTCTGAAGTCCATAAAATTTGATCAACGCGACTAACGCAAGCAACAATTTCTTTTCTCAAAGTTGTTTAAAATTTTATGCTCCATACAAATGCGGTTGAAGCAATTAAAATTTCGAAAAATCTTTAAATATTGACATCCCTTAGTGTAAGTGTACATAAAATAAAATCCAAAAGTTTTTAAATTATAAAAAATGAAAATGTAAAGAACTAACCCTGACTTTAGCAGAGTGATCTCTACTCCTCAACACTTCTAGAATTCCGTCCTTAAACAAGAGAAGATTAATCCTTGATTCTATCATATATCACACATCAACTTTCACCCTCCCACCTCCAACCAACCACTTCAAACTACCAACCAACTCCAACTAACCACTTTCAAGTAACCACCTCCAACAACCAACCATCCTCCAACCAACCACCTCCTAACCTAATCATCGCCAACCAACCACCTCCGACTAACCACCTCCTAGATCCCTGAAAATAATCCAACCTGAATTATTTCACTGGATCGAGCAACATATGTAGCATTCTCGGGCAGAAGGAGACAATCGTTAATGTGCAAACTAAATAATATTTTCTGAAATATTTTTCTTTTAAAAACTTTTTTTCTTCATTTTCATAAATTTTTGTTACAATCCATTGAATAATGGCAATGAAAATGATGTAAAATCAATTAATTCATCTCATTAATTTATCTTGATTTAAAATCAATTAATTCATCTCATTTATTCATCTTGATTTAAAACCAATTCATTCATTTACTTAAGAATCAGAATTAAAAAAGGTTGTCTCCAAAAAAACAAATGAGTAAATTATATTTAGAAAAATCCATTAATTCACAAATTAATTAATTTCGAGAAGATTCACTTCTAACAATTCAGTTGATTTAGAGTTAATTCATTTATCTGTTATTTAATTGATTTTGGATCATTCAACTAATCAATATGAGTCTAAATCAATATTACGATCAAAATTATAACATTTTTACCTTAAAGCTAAGGCAACGGTTCGCTCTGACTCCTGTGTTGGATCGGTTCATTCGTTGCTCAAAAATCAGTTTTTCGATTTAAACATGTTGCGGATCCAATGAATACAGATTCGATCCTCGGATTCTAAGGACTGTTATAAACCACGCAGTGGGGAAAAAGTAAGTTTAATCAGTTTTTTATGAGAGAAAAATCTTTTAATTTTAAATGGTTGGTATGAACCACAGAAGGAAAAGCTTATAATAGAACGTTCCTTTGTCAACTTTTTCTGCAGCGTGGAGAGTCTTGTATCCTCTAGTACATAGTTCCCCATATCTCGGTCCAGTATTCCGCCATGTTCCTCAACCTGTACATAAATATATAATGTACACTGTACAGTACATAGTTCCATCTCGGTCCAGTATTCCGCCCCATTCATCAACCTGTACATAAACATATCACTGCACTGTACATCATTATTATTATCATTCAACCTACACTCTACAGTCAATGTATGATGTCCTGTAGGCTATGTTACGTTGAGCTCCGTGGTTAAGCTCCTCACCACTCCTCCAATTAAGTCAGCTTGGGTTAGTGAATCATATCCGACTTGTTTTTAGGATTCAATGGGTACATTAAATATGTTAAAATGTCGTTAATTGGCAAAATAAGTTGAATGGTACCAATATCTATGGAAGTAAAATGTAAAAAAAATATTTAAAACAAAAATTAATCTTACTAGGGGGTACTAAAATATGTGAATTAAGTTAACCACAGAAGTTTTAAGTTTGTCATGAAAATAAAATTAATAAAATATTAATATCTCGGTCCAGTACACCGTCCTGTTCCTCAACCTGTACATAAACATATCATGTTCAGTACATACAGGGTGTCCCACGAAACATGACAGTTGGTGAATAGTTTTAAATGTCTTCTTCCATAATTTGTTAAGTTGATCAATACCAAAGAGAATAATAAAAATGTTATACGGCAGTTATATTATAGTTAAATTGTTTTCGAAGTAAAATAAAGTTGAGTGAAAGATTTTATTAACGAAATTAACTGCAAAAATGTGTTTATTATCTAAAACAGTTCAAAGAAGATGACATTCAAAACTATTCACCAACTGTCATGTTTCGTGGGACACCCTGTAGTTCCCAATATCTCGGTCCAGCTCACCACTACGCCAATAAACTGTAGCAGTACATAAAATATAAATAAATGTAGATGTACACTCTACAAATAAGCATCTACATTTATGTTAATTTTTTCTTCTATCTATTAACATTCTCGGACATTTTTCTTGATGAATTTAAATAAAGATTAAAATCAAGCTTTTTTTATAAATAAATAATATTTTTGATATTGAATGTTGATCGTTTATCTAGAAATGATGAGCATATTTTCAAACTCAATTTGATTTCCGGAAAAATAGTTATACACAATTTTATCGCGTTTTGAGATGAAAATGCGCGATTTTTTTTCACGTAAACTTAGCAGAGGAGGATTTTAAGTTACTTATTGGTCCCTTTGGGGAATCATGGGTCGATAATGTTTATCAAAAAGCGGTAAATGATTATTACTAATTTCTCTCACTTACAACTTGTAGATTCCTTCTGTTTCTACCTGCTTCATCAGTGTTTTCATTAAAGAAGTTCCGCTTCCGCCGCGATAATCTCTCCCTCGCCCCTCGGCGTATTCTCCGCCTCGTCCGCCATACTGACCCCGACCTCCTTCATAAGATTCTCCGCCGTAAGGTTCTGAACCTCCGCCCCTTTAAAAATAGTACTCTTAGCATTAAAAAGTATCTATTAAAGTTTTAACAAAAAAGATTAACCATGTTTTTCAGACTCTTTTTCTTTTTCTGTTAAAAATAAATTGAATTTACATAGTTCATCCTTTCTACTTGATTTATGTCATAAACAGAGGGAAACTTCTATTAAGGGACTGTTGACATTAGTTCAAATGATCGTTTATTCGAAGAGGGAAATGTTCGATTCACTAAAACACTCTTAGAAGTTTAAAGCCTTTGTCTGTCTTGTTTTTCTCGCTAACAATTTTCAATTCTGATTGCGTTCTCTTTTTAAAGGCGATTTGAAAATTAAATTTAGTTTTAAAATTAAAAAACGGTGGCATGTCAGATTTGCAACGGTATCATTTTAAAAGCTTTGTTAGATCAAGAAGGATTTATAAATGCATCATCTTCTCTTTCAAAATATATAGTTTTCAATTGTGGTTTATCTAATAGTGACTTGCGTATTTCTACTTCAGAAACAATTGAGAAAGTTGTCAAAATTCATCACTTTTCAAACTGGAAAAATGACGATATCTTCAGTTATAAATCATATAAAGGTTTAAAGGATACCGTTGTGAACCGGACATGCAACATTGTTAAGGCATTTGAAATACGAGTCCCTCTAAGTGTAGAAAATACTGTCGAACCTATTTCCTGTTTCGACGTAGTCGTTATACCCTCCTCCTCCTCCAGTCATTCTTTCAAAATATTATCTGAAATTATTTTTTTTAGATATTCAAAATATTGTCTGAAATAACAATATTTTTAAATATTCAAATTAATATCTGAAATAATGTATTTCTTAATATTCAAACATTATTTGAAACAATAAATATACATTTTTAAATCCAACAAATCTGATATCTGTTTGGCCCTTTGAATTTCTTAACATTAAAAATTATATTAAATGAAAAATGTCGAGGATTTGTAAAAGTTAACTAAAGATATAATTTCGAAATAATAATAGTTAATTTATTTGGTTGTAAGTAAGTATTAGATAATTTGCCCAAATCGAAATAAGGAAGAAAAGAACAGTTTCTGCCGAACAATTTTAGAGATCTGAATTAGCTTGCTTGCATTATTCTACAGAATCTACGGAACGAGGTTTGACCTATTTCTATTGTCACTTAATCTCTTCTTTCCATTAGAACAGGTTGGATGCTATATATGAAAGTGTACCAGTTTGTATAAGATGCCATTAACCAGACTAGACCTCAGCAAATAGATGGCTACGTAGAACTTGTTCACTCTCAGTACAGCTGTGTTCTTACGTCACAAGTGTCAATACAGTTTTTGTTTCTGACAAAATTGTTAATAATTGTGACAATTTTAGAAAGAGCTTATTTTACAGTAAAATAAGTACAATTTCATGTGTTTTTTATTTTCTGTTTTTTTCACTTTATTTAATCTTGGAAAACATGTCAGATAATTTGAGAAAATTTCGTTTTCCTTGTTATATTTGAAACTTGTAACGTCGTGTTTAATTGGACCATTTCTCTATTGCCACCATTTGTACTTGATAATCTATTTGGACCTCAGATCTTCGTGGATGGTAGGACGGGAAACCAGGATAGTGAAATGTCGGAATAGGTCTCCGCGGCCGTGTACAACGCGTATACGTTCCAATTCATCATCCATCTCACATATTCCTGTAGTTATCAGATTTTCCGGGGCTTGTAGCTTTGGGGTACCCAATCATCCGACCTCAAGGAATCTGAACTTGCATCTTCTGATCTGAAGGTTTTCCAACACAAGATAGGTCAGGTTAAGCTGGAAAGGTGGAGATGGATGGGGTAAAAAGTCTGATCTCATTAAGCTCGATGTCTTCTACGATTTCTATTGCATCAAAATAGGCAGAGTGGTGGAGGCGAAATCAAACATCTCGCAAACCAAAAGTCATTCTGTTCTAAAATAAAAACCACCTTGGATATTATTAATAAAGCATTTCACACCTTGACTTTAAAATTTTTCATTTTAATAAATTTTCCATTTTACTATGCAACTTCCCCAAAAAAAGTAATAATTTTTTTATTGCGGTTTTCTTTTTAAGGAGAATAGAAAAGCAAGAACTGGCAAGGAAAACTTCCTCGACGTATTGATTTACTAGAAAAATAAATACCGTAGTAACTATTAGTTTATTTCTATGAAAAATTCAAATGAAAATATAAATGCATCAATTAAGTTGCCAACTAGCTGGACTAAGTTCTAGTGACACTGCACAGTGAGCTAGTGATACCATTACACAGTGAGCTAATTCAACAATAAAGCCGAAATGTTTATTTTATCAACACAACGGGAGTTAAGACTTATTAAATACATTGTATCACAACTGAAGGAATAAAATGAAGGCATTATCATTTTGTTCCGTTAAAAACTAAAAATCAATGTTAACAGTGAAACTAAGGGAGAGGGGGGAGAGTCTTGTAAACGCCAAAACGACGGAACGAGCTGAGTTGTATTTTAACATCGTTCAACCAAATCAAATTGAAAAACGGGCGAGAATTGATCAATCGATCAATCATCGAGATAACATAATACATGCTTACATGGCTAAATAGTGACAAAATAAGTGAAACTTTGAGGGAAACAAAATATGAAAATCAAATCTAACTGGGTTGATATAAAGAAGGAAAATGATAAGTTCTTGTAGAGGACGAATAAGGAATGGCGGAGTGGAGCCGGATGATGGATTAGTTACAACACTGTTTTTTGTCTGGTTTATCCGCCTGGGTTGGTTGAAGGTTGATAGTTTGGCTTCCACCTGGGCGCTCCATCTCTCCTCCACCCTCACTGCAAAAAAAATTAATAAATTTCTCATCTTCGAACTCACCTTATCTGCTTCTGGGACACAATACGGTAGATTTCTAAAAATATTACAAATTATTTATCAAAAAATAAACGCAAAATTTTAATAATGCGGTTGAATAAAATCGATAAATTGTCTTTATAGGAAACTGTGTTTAACTAAAATACATTAACATTAAATATACATGCAGAGGGTTACATGCATACCCTTAATTTATCTCAACCATTTAACAATCTAGTCCTTTCTCATTACAATTTATATAAACTGAAGATAAATATAAATATGATAAATATAAAGGGTCACCATTTTTATTTTAACGACTAATTTCAATTTCAATTATAAAATTAAATCCAAATTTTGCTCAGATATTGCTATAAAGGATTTCCCATAAAAGGGTAAGACTTCAGAGACGACTACCATTTTAATTAAAGATGTAAGGCAGAAACCAAAATTCAACAATCAACATTCAAATCAAGTGATTAAAGCGTTTAAGGTCGTCCTTTAAGTCTTATCTTTGGTGGGAAACCCTGTTTTTCTTATTTATCATGATGCTGCTCCGTGCATGTGGTACTTGTTCACTACATGACTAAAAGGTTTGTGTAATACTAATTGAATTAGTTTGGATTCTCTATGCGTATTAATCCAAAATATTACCTTTATATAGCAAAATAATTAGTTCTATACAGACTTTAATAGTAAATTCATTTTTAATTTATAGAAAATTTATTTCCACCAAGAAGTGTTAAAGATGTATTGCAGTGCTAATTATCCGGATCCGCACGATCATGGCTTCCTGGATTTGGATCCGAAAAAATATGCGGATCCAAGGCTAAAGATAAAAGGGGCAAAATTTAACAAAAACTGTTAAACACAAAAAAATAAGCAAAAAAATAACATTTTTTATCTTTCAAAAAGAAAGGCTGCAGGCATGGAACCGGATCTGGATTTTTTTTTTCAGGGTAGATCCAGTTTCCGGATCCGCAGTCTATTGAAAAGTATTCCTTGAAAAAGATTTAATGGATTAATAGTTTATGGGTAATATCTAGCCATGCAAGCTACTTTGTATACATGCAGGGAGTCCAGTGGAGGGAAAGGATGCATCACTATTGGAACTCGGGAAATTAAAGCTTTTGTTCAATTATTATGTTCCAACACATAAGTTTTACTACAAAAAATAAAATCAGACAAAAAACTTGGGCTTAAATTAAAATTAAAATGTTGACTAAGTATAAATATTTGTAAAAAAAATTGTAAGCTTTAAACAAAGCCATACTTGCAAGGAAATTCTTCAAATAAAACCCGATTATAGTTTGTTCATATGTTATTAATAATTTTTTCATTCTAGGGTTTCCTTAGTGTTTTCTATAAGTTGTTCTCACAAATTAAGATCTAGTGAATTATTTCTTAGTTTCTATTTCAATATTAGTCGATTGTTTAGATAAGTTTGCTGTTACAATATGGGTGAGGGATCCAGTGTAAACAGGCATTATATAGGTGAACAAAATATTAACCTGGACCCCAATCATGGAATTTGAAATACAGGGATTGAATCAACAAACGATCTTTCTACTTCTGAATCCATGGTTCAAGTCATGAAACAGTCCTCATGGTCTTTGATGAAATAATAAAACTAATTGTAAATCAACCAATAACCACTAACCAGAAATAGAAGTGAGCAGTCCTTCAATTAAGTAAAAAAAAGAGCAGCCCCAATATTTCTAATTCCATGATTATATTAATGAGTAATATATCCGACCGAAACCAGTCCTGACCTATTCATGTGGATTTTTCGAACTTTTCGTTTTAAAGGGAACTGCAGCAGGGTTTCTTTTCAGGGTCAAGTTGGGTGGGGGGAAGGGTAAAGGCGCCATTGATTGAACCCCCCTCGGGTAATTGGCTCACGGACTTGATACGATATATGTCTAGTTCAAAAACAAATTTTAGGGCATGATTAAGCGCAAATTTTTCCCTCAGTCTTGTGTCACATTTACAAAGTCTGTGGTCTTGTACATACTCTTAGTCAAAACTTTGTTTCAAATACATAATATACATTTTTTCTATCGAGGACTGATATTGGAAAATACATATATTAATTCAAAAAAAAACCCCCCCCCCCCTTCTTCTTAATTATGATCTAAAACTGAACATATACAAGTATTTACAAAGTATCTAAATTCTACACTAAAAAATATATTTTCAAAAATATTCAAACTAAATAAGAACAAGCTTGAAAAAAATTGACAGATAAAAAATGTAACTGCCGAACCAAAACAAGAAGCTTGATTAGTGGGGCACCTGGGTTAGCTTAGGATCAACAGGTGAACTCGTGAA